GAAAAATAAAAGAAGATTACCGACAAAAGCAAACTGCTGAGCACGAGGCCTCAGCTCCGCCCGCTCTGCAGCAAAGACTAAACTTCGTGCACTTTATAATTATTTCACCACCAATTAATGTCCAAACAAAGCTCCTCTCGTCTCTCCTCACATTTTTTCCCCCCCCTCTTCCCCTCCTGTCTCGGCTCTCGTCTCTCCCCTCCTCGCCATCATTTTTAACAAGGTGCCATTAAATAATTACGTCCAAATAAAACAAACAGGCTCCACGGCGAGTTCTGGCACTTTTAATCCACGCCATTAATAATTCATACGCTCAATCTTTGACGTGCAGCTCTTCCCCGCGTGCTGCCGAGAGACGGAGGAGAGAGCTAAATGTCAGCAGGAGCTCAAAGTATAGCTTCGCCGTGTCCGCAGCCTTCCCAGCTGTGGATGGAAATGTGAAACGAATGAAACGATGAAGAAAGGACGCCGAGTTCACGTGTGTGTGATTTAACGACGTTGTTTCCTCTTCGATTTTGAAGACGAGCAGAAATCATGTGTTGATCTGCTCCAACAGTCTGGATGTTTCTCCTCACGGCTCTCCACTCATCTGCAACTTACACTCGCACAAAGACATCAGCTCCAATGAATAAGAAAAGGCTTGTTTATCAAATCCATGCATATTCACTTTAAAGCATCAAAGATGGGGCTCTTATTTTTAATTCTCTGTACTTTAACTCTTTTAGACTCTTCTTTGATTCCTGCCTTCAAACACGACTCATTCATAAGAGATCTGCACCTGCGCCACTGTTTGTCTGTAACTCTGACCCTCGGGGCTTCACGCCGATTGTGCCGACGGAGAAAACACAGAACCTGCGGCAGGAAGAACCAGGAGAACTCTAACACGGGGATGCTCTTTGGAACGCGGCGGAAAAGTCGAATAAGTGTAATTTCCCTTTTCTGTAAAAAGCCACTTAGCAAACATCCATTTTTGACTCGTGATACAAAGCAGCCGAGCCAGGAGTAATGGAGTTCAGTGCGTTTTTGGAGATAATGCTCCTCGCTAAAACCCAATCCACGTTTTAAATTTCTCTTCCACGAGGACTGTTGAGGCAACCCCGAGTCTCCTTTGAAGAGAGGGAGTGTGGTCTTTGAAGCTTTTTTCATCAGGGTTTCAAACACAAATGCTGCTGAAGTTCAAAGCCGAGGGAGAGCACTCGTGGCCATATTTCTGTTTTGTTTTCAGGGCCCTGGAAATATAAAGCTTAGCAGTTACTCTGCATGTGCGTGCGTGCTAATGAAGTCAACCTGAGAGTCAATGAAAAAGCTTTTAATAATTGCCAGAGAAAGAGCCGCTGCATTAGCAGCCGTGTGTGCACGGTGCACGTATTAAAACTGTGTAACACTAAAAGGAAGGAGCTCAGGCCTGCAGCACCTTTGAGGTGGGGGTTACTGGCGTGGATCGGACTTGTGCACATCCTGCAGACGCTCGAGTGGATTGGGAGCTGAGTCAATAGTTTGGGCTTTTTGCCATCCATCTCCATCTGAGGGTGCAGGGATGGGGGCCTGCTACAATTTTAAGGTGCACGTGCACTGAGACCATCACTGTTATTCACCGCTGGTGGATTTGAGGTTGTGGCCGCTCGGTGCGTGGACACACACACAAACACACAAACACACGTCCAAACTGTTTCTTACAAATGGCCGACCCCCCGGAGCTGCGAGGGCTATTTCTGCTAAAGTGAGGTAACTGTGTTGAGCGCTAATAGACTGACACAGAATACAGAGAAACGGCTGCTTCAGCACCATCTCTTAATACAACCCTCAGGCTATAACTGCACACACACCTGCACCGCCCTGCAAACACACACACCCAGGTAATATCCCCTATTTGCCGTGTCTTTAGGGGAAAGAGGCAGATAAACAGCGGGCTCCAATAATGGCGGTTTAGATCTCAATGGGTGCGAGTCAATGCCTCTCCGAGCCGGGGGCTAATGTCAGTTAACACTCCCTGTAGGGGACGAACGCAGGCCTGCAGTGGCTCGCAAAACAAGCCCTCTCCCAAGATCCTCATTACTTCCAACGCTGAGCAGCAACTGTAAGTAAAGCAAAAGTGCAGCTTAAGCTAAAAACATAGCGAGCGGGATGCGGGGGAGAGAGCGCGAAGGAGTGGAGAGAAAGCAAGAAAATAGGTGTTGGGGAGGGAAAATAATTGCACACTGTGCTCCGGTTAGGGTTTTCCAGTCGGACAGAGGTAGAATGGGATTTCTCTAAATGGCTAACGCAGCAAGCAGGTGCTGTTTTTCCCGTTTTGGCCGACGCTGTGCTTTGTGAATATAATGCTTGC